CCAAGCAAGAAAACACTGAAATTGAAGAATGTGGGGGGGTTGTACTGTACTGTACCAAGGGCAGGCAAAACAGGGCAGGCAAAAAATGCATACTGAATGCACTATAAAGACTCCATATCACTATATGGTCAAATATTACTTATCTATATTCTTGATGTACACCACATTTTGCACAACCTGATGAACTGTCTATTTTCCTTTTCTCATCTGCATGAGTGAAGATGATTTATTATATTGTGAAATAACATCAGAAAGATTTTAAATAGTGTCACGTGTTCTGTGTTTTTTCAAAAAAGGTGGGCACAATAGACATTCTGCTGATTTTAGTCCATCTAACTTTCATTACTTTTCATGTCTCTTAGATTTTCAACCTTGTCACTATTCTAACTGTCCTCTTCGAATATTGCAAAGTACTTTGAAGAAATATGGGTACATGTCAGTTCGAATTACTTTGACATTTACACTTTTTTTGGGTTAACTAGTAACTACAACTGCATTCAGGAGAGGAGAAACATGCATTTATTGAAAAGCTGATGAAGGTCTCAACTCAAAAGGAAATATTTTCAGAGACAGTTAAACAGGTTACATAGAGGGATATATGAGCTTTGCAAGTATCAGACTTGACACTCTTGATTTTGGGACACCGAACTGGGTATGAGAGTAGCATGTAAATGTACAGGTTGGGATAGTAACTGAGTATGTCTTATAAAACTGTATTATTACAAACAAACAAAAATAGAAGGTGTCTGAGAACTATAAAGTCTATGACCTTTAAAGTAAAACTTATTTACATTGCATCTACTGAGGTGTTGTATGACTGGTGTGCTTTTATGTAACAGTGATGGAATATACATTTTTAAAATATGGACAGAGGATTGCATACAGTGCGGGACAAGCACTGTGTGCTGTCAGAGAGCTACCTCTGCTGGCTTGGTAATATAACTGCAGCTTTATAAAAATGTTAATGAATATGAAGCCTAAGTGATTATTGCATACATTTAAATTGTTTATGCCCACCAAATGTTTTGCAGCATGATTTTCACACCAATAACAAAATCATTTTAAAAAGTGAAAGTTTGTCCAGCATATAATAGCATTACAAGAAATTAAAGAAACATGGTCCCCTACATAGTTGTCTCATAATCAAATCCAGATTAACCTGTTAGTGGGTCATGGGGCAAAAACTTGCTGTTGGGCCCCTCCCTCCTCCCACTCTCTGTGCCTTAAGTATGTACCGACCCCAGATCTTCTGCGTAACATTTACTTTGTGGTGATTCTGATTAATCACAATTTTATTTAAAACTATGCACCATCTGAGCACAACTATAAACTTGAACAATAATGGACAAAATAGACACTGATTGTGTTTGTTTATCGTCATCTATCCATCTGTTTGTTGCTGTAATGAAGGTAGTATATAAGTTTGCTTACCTGTTGTTTAGTATGTGCTTCACCTTCACAATAATCTCCTGTTACAGTGGCAAAACAGCAACAGAGAAGACAATCATTTTGACACAGAGTGTCTCAGGCGGTCAGTGGATCAAGGAAAATGAACAGATATAGAGCCAACAGAAAACAAGTGTTGAGTAATGAGAATTAATTCCTAAGAAACATGCCTCCAGCACACTAAATTCTGGGGGCTTAGTTTTTCCACAAGCACAAAGACTGTGGAAACCTGCAGATCAGCAAAGTGATCAGTGTGTTTGCCCTTTCCTCTGACATCTGAATCAAGGATATGCTTAGTTTAAGAAGACTCTATATATATATATATATATATATATATATATATATATGAACTTAGGAGCTTGACCTAAAAGTGGTCGCCAGTAGTTCTGCCAATGTGCCAGAAAGAAGATCTGAAAATATAATCAGTGTGAATAAAGTTAAATTTGACCAATGCAGGCTTTGAAGGATGGAGGAACTACCGTACCAGAACTAGTGGGGCAGACTTTTGCTTACTAGAGCAGCAATGAGTTTGAGTTCTGAATGGAACTGAGAAAGATGAATTAGAGATGTTATACCTAATGAAAGTGAGTCTGCTATAAAATATCTTTCATCGGGTACGACCCCTGGTGTTGACTCACTCTCAAATTTTAAACATTCTTTCTGGATGAGTTGTCTCCAAGTTATATGGTGACATGATAGAAGATCAGTGAATGTCACTGATTAAGACTCCTAAACAACGAATGTGAAGTGTCTGCAAAAGTCCATTTATAGCTGGGCATCAGTCAGCTAATGACAGGAGGAGGCAGTTTCAGGTAATGTTTAAGCCAGCTCTCTTCAGCAACCAGAAATTGCAATTTCATTGTGTCGAGAAAGCCATTGACAGGATAGAAGGGCCATATTTATTTCACATTTTATCAAAATTCAGATTTCCTGTCTAGTACTGTACCATAAACCAGTCTCCTCAGAAGCAACAACATTCTTTCTGACCCTTTCCATCTATACTGGGGGACACAGCAGGCGTGCCCAATATCCCCTTTGTTTTAGCCCTTGAGCCATTAGCCTGTGCTATTCATGAAAATCCAGAAATAATGGGTATATCAGTGGGCGGACATAAGTTCAAAATAAATTTCTACGCTGATGATATTCTAGTTACCTATAGAGATATTCAAATCATTTAGATTATTTTCAGGATATAACATAAATTGGTAAAATAAAAGTGAAGCTATTCGGGTAAATTATTTGACTTGTTCTGATCATCTAGGTTCTGTCCATTTCGTCTGGAAACCTGAAGGAATGAATTTATGTTAGTGAATCAGAATCAGAATCAGAATATCATATATACATTATGTATGTATATATGATATCCTGATATAACATATATTCATTTGTCAAATCCAATGGTCCAGGTTTAGTAAGAACCATTAGAGATTATTTGAGACCATTATCGTCATCTTTGTGGGTAAAGGTACATATGATGAAAATTAATGTCCTCCCAAGATTGCCTTACATCATATCCTCCATTCCCCTTCAAATCCATCAATATTGGTTTAAAGAAATAAATAATGACTCAATTCATATGGAAAGGTAAAGTAACTAGAATAAATCACGAGACGTTTTCTATGCTGAGGAGTATGGATGTGCCTGCCTTGTATCTCTATTAGCTTTCATCCAACGGCAGATTCCACATTTTATTGGGTTATGGAGGTACAACTTCCAAAGCTAACTGGGTTTGGCTGAAGGGGCAGATAATCAAAGAGCATAGCAAATCCATTCATCTGCATCATTATGGTATTGTCCCAAACCCAATATAAGTTGGGTACCATGTGTACTTCTCTCCCATAATGTCCACTATGGAAAAATCTGTTCTGTTGATTTACATACCTATGAAAGGACATAATATTTATCAGTTAGGTCAAGTTGAGAAGGACAATAGCATAATTATTCTTTTTAGAAATAATAACAAAATTCAATCTGAATGAATCTTCTTTTCTCTCTTATTTGCAGATAAAATCTATAATTGTAAAAATAACCTCAAAGGGTACCATACGTGCATGAACACCTGGTTAACAGCCTAAAAAAGCTTGCAAATGAGAGGGGAATGGTTTTATGCATAATATACAAGCTTGTTCTCCTTTCCTCCCCCAGTAGTAATATCCAGACACTGAAAACATAGAAGCAATACCTGGGTATCACACTCACTCCCACTTGAGTGGGACAACATTTCGAGTCACTCAGTATCACTGCCCAAATGTGATGATTTGGGGTAATACAAATAGTTCACAGAGCAAAGATTGATCAAACACTCAGGCTTATGCTGGCATGGTTGTGGGAGGTGGACACCGTCATGCCCTCTCAATGGCTCTGTCCAGCTGTTCAGGCTTTCTGGGATGTAGGCAGAGGTACAATTTAAAAGATCTTGAAAATGGATTTAGCTATTGGAGCAAAGTATGTGACGATGTTAGATCATGTGCATGCATGTTTTCCTATGGACATACTATGTGTTAAATAGAAACACATGCATAAAATAAACACAAATTAAACACTAACCCTCCCTCCTTCCACACGTCTGTGCAATAGCTATGTTCTCGTATTGTCACATTGTCTGTCTGTCTGTGTCTGTCATAAAAGAATCTATAATAAAATATGAAAATTATCTAAGACATGCTTGTTCCTTCACTTCTCTCTTGTCATTTAAAAAGTAGGGTGCAAAATTAAAACAAAAAGGGTCAAATTATGTTTAACAGGAAACTTGAGAGTGATTACCATCCTAGTTATAGTTTGTATGTAACTTTTTCTTTTTTTTTTTTGACCTGGAGGGACTTCATATATCAAGATGTAGCCCAGTTATTTATAGTGTTGCTTTATGACTCCTGCATCTTTACTCTCCAGGCATCAAGGACCAACATTGGAAACAGGTCTTAGACTTTATTGTGTCATCGTCGATATAGTTTACAGTTTTACGTTTGTACTTGTTTTGCTGTGCTTTTCTGTATACATGACATGTTACGTGCAATATGGCAATTTGCAATATTGGAAGCTGGGGGAAATGTTCCTGGATGTTTAGATGTTTCAACTAATTTCCCTATAAATTCCCAGTAAAGTAACTCTTATCGTATAACATTGACTGATGTCTGCTAGGCAAAATGCCCAAAACGTCTCTGGGTTTACTGTAGACTAAAGTTACATGACAGAAGTTAGTTGTAACTGTGTTTTTGGTTTCTTATACATGGGCAGTATACTTGTATGTATATGTCCATATTAAATAACATAACTTACTGTAATCGACACATTTAGTGTTGTTTGCAGTTCATTAGAAATCCACTACTTTAAGCAGTGAACTATTGAATAGTGAATAACTTCCGCATGTTAGACAGGAGCTTTGATTTCGTTGAGTTGTGATTGGTTCTGACAGGACGAACTCTCATTTTCCTGCTTCTCATTGGCTGGTCGAAGTAGATTGACGGGTCGGATAGACCAATGAGAGTCTGCCACACTGTGGTAAGGAGCGGTTCCGCTGCCTGCCTGAACATCTTCACCGCCTCCCTCCCATCTCTTTCTCTTTCTCTATCGACCAGTCTGCGTTTGGCCCTGTCCGAGGAGCTTGCAGCCTTGACTTTCAGGTCGCTGAAGAAGGGGGCTGCCACGGACACAATTTGCAACTCAACCTTTTTTTTTTTTGTTTTTAACAAATAGTGTCTTCTAGCTTGTGCGGGGTGCGATGTTGAGGCTGATCTTTTTGGTCGCCCTCGCCGGGTTTACCCGGGCCAGTGATGTGCTCGATTACACGGATGATGACTTCGAAAACAAGATTGGAGACCACGGACTCGCTCTGGTGGAATTTTTCGCCCCTTGGTGAGTCTTTTTACGTTTTAAGAAGCAGAGTATATGAACGATTTAACTGTTTGCAATCGTTAAATAAGCTAATGCTAGCGTTCCTTGCTTCGTGGTGAGCAGTTCAGCTAACGGACGCTCACTTCCAGGACTTAACACTGTGAACGTATCTCTACTGTCTTCTTAAATTATTGCATTCGTTGTATAAATTGCAGACTTCATCTCTGCGTGTAACATTAACAGAGTCTGTAACGTTGCTGTCAAAATCTCTCTGGTTTATTGGCTAGTCACCAACGTTAGCATGTTAGCTAGAAGTGGAAAGGTGTAGGCCAGCTAACGTTATTTTTGGTAGGCATATTATAAGTCGCTTTGACAGTAAATGAAATATTTATGTGTACAAATTATAGAGCGTTAACGTTATGTCTCGTATTTATTACTGCTCTGAATCCTTATCAATGGAAACTACGTGCGAATAAGGAAGTTAGGGGAGTGTCCTTTACCTGTTGTAACGTTCTGATTGGCCAGGGAAGTTTTGGTGTCCTCCTCTGATTGGTCTGCAGAAACTGTGACGTAGAACCAGTGTTCCAAAGTTGAATAAATTTTGAAGTTGATCAGAATAGTATTTATAAAAACTTTTGAAGTTAAACAGTTTATGTAATATTTTGTTCTTTTTTAGAACTGAGACGATTATTTTTCAAGCAAGACTGGACTGGTTCCAGTTTATCGAATGTGGTTTGCTGGTTTTCTTAGTAATTTATGATAATAAACCAAATATCTTTTGGTGTTGGACTCTTGCGTGGACAAGATGAGAAATATTAATATGCCAACCCAGGCTTGGGATAATTGTGATGGACATTTTAAATTTTTGCTGACATTTTATTGAACAAACAATTAATCAAATGATCAACAGAGTAACTGATAATAAATAATAGTTGTACACCTGCTACTGTTTATTAACTAATAAAAGTTAAACGATTTTCAATCTTGTCAATCATTTCCCCCCCTTTAACAGTTAAACCTTTTGTAGTCATCCTTAAACCCTATTGAAATACCTCAGTTATCAAATTGCATACTGTGAAATCACTAGATCTCCCTCAGGATCTCCAAGCTGAGACCTGAATACAGCTGAAGTGTAACTTGTTTGACTGATCCATATCCTCTGTCCATTAGGTGTGGCCATTGTAAACGGCTAGCACCCGAGTACGAGGCAGCCGCCACACGCCTGAAAGGCACTGTCTCTCTGGTCAAGGTATTGCATAATGCAGTTCACTTAACTTTGTGCACTTTAGTGTGGCTTTCTGTACTGTAGTACTCTCTGTATCTCTGCAGAGAGTGAATTATTTTCTTTTTCTGTAGGTTGACTGCACAGCCAACAGCAACACATGCAGCAAATATGGTGTCAGTGGCTACCCAACGCTGAAGATCTTCAGGGACGGAGAGGAATCTGGTCCCTATGACGGCCCCAGAACAGCAGGTATTTGCTTCTGATGTGTATACCAGTGTAAAATGTCTTCAAGGTTCTTACACTTACAAATACTCCCTTATATGTACTTATTTCTGTCACATCATTGTCATCATCTTTGTTTTCTGCCTCTCTCCTCCTCTTTTCTTCTGTGTTCTTTTGCACTCCTCTCGGTCTCTGTAGATGGGATTGTCAGTTTCCTCAAGAAGCAAGCTGGGCCAGCTTCTGTGGAGCTCAAGACGGACGCAGACTTTCAGAAGTTTATTTCAGACCAAGACGCCAGTGTTGTTGGTGAGTTACAGTGATGAATAAGCATTGGATATTAATTTGAGGTACATCTTGATGGGTGTTACAAGCCACTGTCTCGCATAATAAACCATTGTTCAGATATCATCGTAATATTCTGCAGTCAATGTTGGTGTAATTTGGGGACGGTGCATTTTGATCTGAATGTGACTAATTTTTTCCTTCAAAGGGTTCTTTGCTGATGACAAGAGCACAGCACAGACAGAGTACCTGAAGGCCGCCAGTGCCTTGAGGGACAACTACCGCTTTGCCCACACCAACTCTGAGGTTCTCCTCCAGAGCCATGGCATTGACGGAGAGTAAGTAGCTCTTTCTGCCTTTTGGCAGTCTATAGGAGCAGATATTTACTTAATAAGTTAAAGTGACTTGCTTCATTGCATGTTTGATCTCACCATCATCAGCATAGTTGCTGTCGGTGCAGCAAGGCAACAGTGACATTTACTTTTTTTTTGTTTTCCAGAGCTGTTGTCTTGTTCCGTCCACCACGACTCAACAACAAATTTGAAGAAAGCTCCGTCCAGTTCAGCGAGGACAAATACACCAGCAACAAAATCAAGAAGTTCATCCAGGACAACATGTGAGTGTTGATTTTCTTGTTCCAGCATCCTTGTTGTTGTGTTTCAGGCATGAGCACAAGGCTGTTAGACAGAAGAGATGATGGTTTCTATTTATTTGCAAAGCACAAAACGTTTACAGCAGTTGATCATGTTGGCAGTCGTAAAACACATTTACGTATTTTGCATAGTAACAGCACATATTTGCTTACGTGGCTCAGTGCCAACAGGACCTTGTGGAGTAGTTGAGGTGTCCAATCTGCAAACACCGTCAGCTCTCTCTCAACTCCGGGACTATGGCTTAATAAATCAGGAAAATGCATACATTTACTGTAGACTGTAATGGAACAGTGTTTTAACTTTTGATGAACAAATACTGGACTTTATAATCTAGTGTCATGCTATTTTAGAAGTAAATGAGATAACGGAGTGAATCTGTTAGACGAGAAAAATAACATGCATAATATTTGCAGTCTTTGCAGATCATGGTGGCTACACCATTATCTGAGGTGCAGACTGAAACTGTGCCAGTAAAACTGTTGAGAACCAGAGTGATGCCTCTGTGTTTGAGGCACATCAGTTGAAAGAAGATTGTTATCTTCAATCTCATTATAATGAAAAATGATGATTGGAGACACATGGATCCTTGGCCTATTTACCTTTCCCACTAATGCCTGATCCTTTTGGTTCGGCTTATGCCATCTATAAGCTGATGTAGCCAGACTGTTGCATAGGTTTTTGTAGACGTTGTGAGGTTAATGCAAACACAAAGGTCCCTGTAAGTACGAAACCACTAGCATGCTGTTTCCTGTGTTTTTGTTCTGTGTTGTGACTGCGCTAAAAAGCAATGTGGTGATTAAAACATTTCCATATCAGTGCGTTGTAATCATTTTAAGGCGGTGGTGGCATAAGGTGAATCCACAGTATTTTCTGTATATTTTGCACAGAATATGTGATGAGTGCTTTACTTTCACATTTTGTTAATTTTAAGGCAGGTATCTCACACTTAACTAAAACACAAGATTACAGTAGAAGCACACATGGCCTGTACATGTGGTTTACCAGTCTTACCGTTCACTAACAGCCAAGTGACAAAGTTTGCGGATGAGTCGCCTGTATTCTTTGTCCACATTACGCAAAATACTAATTTATTTTTTCTTGTTTTACTTTCACTTTGCCACAGCCTTGTCTGTTGTCTGAAGACTTAACTGCATGACATTGAAGTCTGCAGAACATCAGTATGTTCAGCATATTTAATCTTGTCTGCTTTTCTGGAGACTTTCTGAAAGATGTGAACTATGTGATCAGAATTGTTATCTGTATTTGTTGTAACAAAATAAATGTTTGCACTTTTTATACTGCAGTAAACCACCCATATCACTGATTGTCCTTTACCAACTGAAAAAGTATTGCTCATTGGTTTAAATTTCTTTGTAAACTGATCCATTCTTACCATTTTTCTTCAACTCAGCTATGGAATCTGCCCCCACATGACGGACGACAACAAGGACCAGATCAGGGGGAAAGACCTGCTTGTGGCTTATTATGATGTTGATTATGACAAAAATCCCAAGGGCTCCAACTACTGGAGGAACAGGTAGGTGTATCCAAACTCACCCCCAGGGTTGTTCTTTGCACACCACTGTGCAGCTGATTTGCTCTTATCAGATTTGTCTTATGTTCGTCCATTGTTGGACTTTTCAGTCCCTAAATGCAGCCTTTGATTTGAGATGTGACTTTCGTCGTCATTTTCAAAGCATGACTTTTAACCGCAGACCAAACTAACATTTTACAGGGTGATGAAGGTGGCCAAGGGCTTCCTGGATCAGGGCAAGAAGCTGAACTTTGCCGTGGCCAACAAGAACTCGTTCAGCCACGATTTGTCTGAGTTCGGCCTGGATGGCAGCTCAGGAGAAGTGCCTGTGGTGGCCCTCCGCACCGCCAAGGGAGACAAATACGCCATGACCGAGGAGTTCTCGTAAGTCAAGACAAATGTTAATTTGTAACATCAACATTTACCACACAGCTTAGCCATTAGGAATCATTAAATTGTACACACACTCTCCTTTTGGCTAGCTAATTGACTTAAAAATGTTGAAATAACACCCTGAGGAGGTGCTCTAATGTTTTGGAATGTTTATACTTGGGGCCTGAAGCATGAAACGTTTTCCTTCTTTCCAAGATGAGTCGCATTCTTGACGGCCTAAAGGTGCTCAAGCTCACGAAACTTTGCACAAATCTATATTTCACCTAGATGTGTGAAATTTGTGCGCCGCATGTATCATCCCAAGACACACACAAAGCCTTGTGGAGCCATACACTAACCCCAACAGGAAGTTACTTAAAATGTTTGTAGTGCTGTGAAATTTTGTTAAATGGTGTGTCCATGCTTCGCCATGAAACTGTAACTTCAGTGCACATTCTCCAATCTGCCCCAAACTTTTCTTGTTTAATAAGACTCCCTGCCTGAGGACATCTACATAACAATTGGAAGTCATGGTCATTGGCAAAAGGAAATAAACCCTGTGTGACAATCATTATTTAATTTACATGAAATTTAAACATGTTGTCTACACTTGATGAAGGGAGTTCAACCTATTCAAAGTTAACTCGGGTTATCAAGCAAACTCGGGGTTGACAAACTCTGACTGCTACACTGGTGTTAAACGGTACTACGACGGTTAATAAGATTTTGGTTAGTTGTCTGTGTTAACTTAATTGGAGTTGGGGCGTGTTCGGCTGAGTTTTTTTCTCAACGGCACATTCTCCGTATTTTCCCCAGAAGAATGCACGTTGATAGTGTCAGGATATGAGGGGAGTAAAGACGCGTTAACGGCCAAATCTCATATCGTGGCGGCCGACGTGGCATTGCATTGAGTAAATTTATAATTATCTTCAGTGTTCTTGTTGTAGGCTAATTCTCTATGTATTTTATGGACTCTTATCTGTAATATGATGAAGATTTAAAGGTACAACTGCACATAAGGTCCATTGTAATAAAAAAACAAATTGGAGCCAGGTGAGAGAGGAAAAGAATTTCCAATATTAATATGGGAGATTTAATCAGAAATGTACAAGTTAAAAACTTGAATATTCTGACATTGCATTCATACATTTGAGAGAAACACTCAAAAATTAGTGTTGTTTTATTTTTTTCAAGAAATCACACACACACACCTGTCGCGTATTATGCGTGCAGTGGATAATTATATTGGACTTCAACAACACACAATCACTATACTATTGTGCACTTTAGATACTTTGCCGTGAATTGGGTGTATTCAGAAGACAACACCAGAGTGATTTGGATTTTTTGTGACGTTAATTTGAGGGAATTTCTGATTTTTATTTTTATTTATTTTTTCCCTATAAATTTACATCTTTCATCTCGGATTTTTTATTTTTTTTCTCAGTTTATCAGCCGAGAGCAGAACAGCCGATGGCTGAAAAATAATGCCGATATCGAAACAAAGTCATGGTTATCTTAACATTACTTAGATGGAATTTTTATGAATGAATAAAGTTGAAAAATACATTGGATTATGCTGTAGATTTCAGACTGACTAGTTTAAGGGGGAGTGGGATATAGAAGGGATGTCATTCAACTATATTATTCACTACAGTATGACAATGTATATTTGACGCTAATCAGTAATAGTTTTAGATTAGATCTGCTGTCCTTTTAGGATGGGAGAGGTGTGTTAACATTTAGAAAAGACGAAAGTGACCGAGGAAATTTAGGTAAATGTTTACAGCAGGATGCATGACAGTTACAGTACAGGGTTCGAAATCACCATCTTCAGGCAGAGTGCAGGCATCGGCTAATGCCGTTTTATCTCGTAATGCAGATATCAGCCGACTGATTAATCGTTCTATCATTACAATGTACAATATTCACGTGGTCCCAGACAGATCTGTAAAAGAGATGAATGCTACTAAATGAACAGAAATACAAGTTACTCATTTCCTTTTGCCTGTAAGAGCAAAGTGAAAAGAAATTGTAACGTTAGAGTCTGATAAATGGCTTCTAATCAAAGTCAAAATATAGATGTTGTTGATTCTGCCTGTGTTTTCCCCAAATACTCAGTTTGCCTACTGATTACTTAAACAAGTTATTTTTGTTCTCCTAACAGTCGTGATGGAAAAGCTCTGGAGCGTTTCCTGCAGGACTACTTTGACGGCAAGTTGAAGCGATACCTCAAATCAGAACCCATCCCAGAAAATAACGACGGCCCTGTCAAGGTGAGATAAAAATAACTGAAGTTATATAGGACCTTTTCAAAGACAACGTTACAAAGTGCTTTATAATAAAAACACAAAGTCTGTAATATCCAAAAACACAAGATAAAATAATTGAAATTACAACAGATGCCATCAATTAAGAAAAAGATGAAAGGGAGGTTTAAGAAGAGAGGACATGCAATTCTTAATTTCTACTTAATATGTGCTGTGTAGTGGTGTTTGCAATTGTTTATTTATTCTAAATGTGAACTACTAAGACTTGTTCATTTTTAAGGAATATGAAAATATGCACAAATGCTGATTCTGCAATACAGCCAGACCTTGAATACGCTCTCAGGTGTACCTTATAACACCCTATAAACATCTACTGTAGCTCGTACTACTTGGAGTAAACGACTCTCAAATTAAAGTCTGAATCAGAAAGAGTGTTTTAATAATGCAGGTTACTGATCATAAGCTCGTAAATGAGTTGTGAAAATTAAAACGGGCGGTCAAAGCAATGTATCGCGCTCATGACTTAAAATACCATCTTGAGAAATACCCAAAGTTAGGAAACAGCTACTCATGAATCCGTAATGGGTAAACTTGCAACGTCTGTCATTTGTATTCAGGTTGTAGTGGCTGAGAACTTCGACTCCATCGTCAATGACGACAGCAAAGACGTGCTGATCGAGTTCTACGCTCCGTGGTGTGGACACTGCAAGAACCTGGAGCCCAAATTCAACGAGCTAGGAGAGAAGGTGAGAGAACAGACTCCAAACCTACTGCTACTGCAATATTATCTACCAAATTAAGATGATACTTTTAAATAAAAGCAGCATTTTAATGACCTTAACTCAAGAATAGCTTGAAGCAAAGTGTTTACATATTAAAAGAAATCACATTAAAGAACATGAACAGCTTGACAGAGAAACTTGAGGTGAAACAGTGGAGGGAACCTGGGGTTGTCCATCAATAATTTCTATACTTTTGTATGTAAAATAATATAAACGATAGTTGTTATCCCATAGAAACCACTTTATGCTAGTACTATTTTACTAGCATTAAGTAAAAAAGTTTGATTGGTGCTCTGGCTTGCGTTGTCCGACCCAAAAAAAGGACCAGACAAAACTTAGACTCTCTAGAAGTAGAGTGTGAACCTGCATCCAAACAGTTTCTCTCCTCTGCTCTTAAAGCTTGCTGGTGATCCCAACGTCGTCATCGCCAAGATGGATGCCACAGCCAACGACGTGCCATCTCCATATGAAGTTAGCGGGTGAGTCATGAGGCACTACAATAAATATTCAGGCTTCTCTTAAGCCCGAGAAAGCTTTGAAAGTTTGAATTTTAGGAGCAGTATTTTTTTTATTTATTTTTTTCAGGATGTGTGTTTGTTTTTCATTTTATTTTTTTTATGTCACCAAGAGTCAATGAAATTAAGTTAATTAGAGCTAGACCGATAATCAGTATTGGTATCTGTGTTTGTCGGCCGGTAAGAAATTGCCAGTAATTTGGAAACGGTGACACCATCACATATTTTGTCTACCAGAGAGAACTGACAACTTTTCAATTGCAAAATGTCCAGCTCTTTAAAAGTAACAAATCTAAGGGATCTGTATCAAGATTTTTTTTTTTTTTTGTTATAATTTTCCAAATATTGATATCAGTATCAACCTCAAAAATCCCCTATCAGTCAGGCTGTAAAGTTAATTTTATGTTTTGTGGGTGTGTGGACATTTTTGGCATCTTGATCACTTTTTTACAGATTTTAAATAAAGGGGTCTGAAGAACTACGCTGTCAGTACAGTAGGACATATTAATGATAGAAATTTATATCATCTCAACCTTTTGCTTTTCCAGTTTCCCCACGTTGTACTTTGCACCCGCTGGACGCAAGACGAGCCCAAAGAAATACGAGGTGAGTTTCGGCTCGAGTCATCGTTTAAAACAATTGAATGTTGTATCCACTCTTCTAATTGCCGTCTCACTGCTTCGTGTTTCAGGGAGGTCGCGAGGTGAGCGACTTCATCTCCTACCTGAAGAGAGAGGCCACCAACCCCTTGGTGATGCAGGAGGAGTCCAAGAAGAAGAAGAAGAAGAAGGACGATGACAAGTCAGAGCTATAAAAGCTCACAACAGGAGGAAGAGGATTGGGGAAATCCATGCAAAGAAAGAACTAAAATCATATCCCACTCTCTTAGTGAACTACCGAATGCTCTGATGCCAAGTCCAAAAGATGCGGCGCTCCCCTTTAGGTCCTCGGCTGCTCTGAGGAAACTGTGGAAGGTGGCGAGGTGGTGGCCAGGGCCTGCCTGATGTTTAAAAACAAAAACAAATTTTTAGGGAAGAAGGGACAGCTTTTGAAAATTGAGATTTTTATTTCCCCTGGTCTGTCTACCACACCGCAGGCTGATACACTTTGACACCAGTCTCCAGTCATGTCGCTTTGGTTTTTGTTGTCGTCGTCACAGGGGATAATGGTAATGGTGAATTCCTTTTTTTTGTTTGTTTTTGTAACATGTCTTTGTTTTTGTACATTTGGAAGGATTATGAAATAAAAAGGCCCACAAAACCAAAATTAACTGTATGATCTCGTTCATGAGTGTAAATGTTCTATCATACTGCCCTGGCAGGGAAAACTGTTTTTTTTTTCTTTCACTCTTTTTTTCTTGATTAATCATTTGGTGTATATAATGTAAGAAGGGTAATGAATGTCCTTAAGTTGCAGGAGTTACGTTTTTCAAATATCTTGTTTTGTTCTGTTCAAAACCTGAAGATATTAATCATATAATAACATGAAAAGTAGAAGTCCGCACATTAGAAGCTGGACATATCAGTGATTCTTTAACAAATTAAAGCATTATTCAGTTATTTTAAAAAATTTTTTGGGGGGGGTCAATTTAATCAATAACAATTTTAGCACTTGTCATAAAATGGGCTGTAACGGATGTAAAAATTGTATTTAACTTTATTTGATTTGGTCTGCAGATAATGGCACAAACTGTTTGGGGTTAAGGGTGGGGGAGGGGAATGCTATTACAACATCACTGATTGTCCACAGTGTTAAATTTATTGTCACTTAGGTACAGTAAGGACTATTTCTGCAACATTAATTGCTAAAAAAAAAAAAAAGTATTTATCAGAATGTAACATTAAGTAAATTTAGTCAAACTTGAAGATGAAATGTTTAAATTGGCATTATATGTAATGTCATTTTATTGTATTATGGCTTTTTGGTGAAAAGTGCTGCTGAGTCGCACAGCACAATTATATTGCCAAACCTCAGGGATTTTTTTTTTTTACAGCGTTGTTTAGATCTCTCTAAAAACCGGTTTTACTTGTTCGTGTCCGTTGCCAAAATCTGAAATGGTTGAAATGTACTGATGAAACGTAATGATATTGGAATAGCGCCTCCAACCAGTAGGCGGCGACATTTGGTTGTTTGACCGCTTCCTGTTAAAGAACAAACGAGGAAGAGAGGGCGCCAATCAGAAGGCGAGAAGACAGGACTTGTTCAGGCATGTTCACGCTTTACACGTGTTGGAGAAGGTGATGTAGAAAACATTTTAAACCTTTTTTGTCGTTATGATCTCTTGTGTTTTTACCGTTAACACCATTATATCTTATATTATTCTACCATGATAGTTTTCCGAGGAATGAATGTTTAATGTCTTAGTTTCACGTGGCTCTCTTCGACTAGCTAGCTAAATGTCAGTTGGTGATCCAATACGCAACGCCGAACTCCATAGACATATCTGGAAGTTATAGTTGGCCTTTGCTACCGACTAAGTTAAACACTAACGTTACATAAAGGTTTCCCTTTATGTGAGCCCTTAGGCCAGTGGTCAATGCGGTTTAATTATAATTCACCAATCAAGTATTTGTAAATAAATATAAGCTTTTTATAACGATCACACGCTGTCGACGAGGCAGGCAACCATGTTTGCTTTGAACGAGAATTTCCCAAGAGAAGTCCTAAAATGAGAATTTGGTGGATCGTAACGTTACATACAGCTATACTAACTTAGACTTACAGTATGCTGGATTTACCACTGAAGTCTAACAGTGATTAAATACATTTTCACAGACAGACTTTACGAGCGCAGTTTAAGTGACCTTACAGTACATTAACGTTATATTTGCCTACAATGAAACCTGAAGGTAGTTTGGTGGTACTGTCTACGACTGAACTAGGGAATTATCTTACGCACATCTTATCTTAACAAAGTCCATCTGACATTTCTTAGATTTTACAAGTTAACTTTATTAAATAACTATTAATTAGCTAATTCGACTGTAAAACTCATTAAGCAAACAACATAGTCACAGAGTTGGTGTGTTGCTGTCAATCACCTGCCCCCTTCTTAAGATTCTACCTATTGTCAAGTCGATTTTATTGGCCAAATGTGGTGTAATTGTTATGTCTGTGTGTGTATAGCATCTTACTTACTTTTTTGGTATGTTGCCCTCACATTGCATGTACACACAGTAAGATAAGAACCAAGGTTATGCAACAGGTGCAGTGACAAAAGGCACAATACAACCTTTTTTTCCACAGAGCAAATGTAGATTTACACACACAAAGCAAACAATTCTTGATTAGTAATGATAACCTGCTGAATGTCCGTCCTAATTAAAAACGTGTGTTTTTGTGTTTATTTCATCAGAAATGACTGCAAGGCCAGAATTGTTAGTTGATGATGACACAGCCATCAAAAAGGAATAAAGCCACCTCGTGGGGGCTTCTCAGCAACTACAGATATTGTGCAAAAAAAGCCATAATGCTTCACAGTATGGAGAATGCAAGAACCAGGAAGAAACACCAGCAGAAGATAATCATCGCCAACATGAAGAGGAAAAGAACCGACAGCCACAACAAACCACTGGATATAAATAAACTGGTCAAAAAAACGAATTTGAGCGAAGCAGAACAAGAAAGTCAAAACACTCTGAACTCTCAAAACAAAAACTCTGATGTATCTAAACCTGGACTCTCTGAGTCTAAAGCTTCAGACCACCACAGTTTAGTCACAGCCCTCAGAGACAGCTGGGAGGTAGACAGTGGTTTCTCCTCCGAGGTGAGTCCTCCGGCCAGTGGTCGGAGTTCACCGTGCCTCAGCTCATGCCGGACCACAGTGGTGGCGTTGGACTGTGAGATGGTGGGGACGGGGCCAGGAGGTCGCTGCAGCGAGCTGGCACGCTGCAGCATCCTGGACTATCATGGCAACATACTGTATGATAAATATGTCCAACCCTGTCAGGCCGTCACAGACTACAGGACTCGCTGGAGTGGTATCAGGAGGCATCACCTGCACAACGCCATCTCATTCACTCAGGCCAGGGAAGAGGTGAGCTTTATTTTTGGATCTGAGGTCCACTGATTGATACTTTTACTAAGTGTGCAATGAATAAGTCAGCGTAGCCAATGAGTATAAATGGATAACTTCTAATGTTGGGTGAAGTCAGTTTATTTATTGAATAACTCAACAGATTAATAAAAACAGCATGTAGAATATAGCAAGCAACATAGCAGGTATGTCAAAATGTGAGGTATTGTCAAAGAAAAACTGAAGCTGTAGTGCAGGTTAAACCAGTAGCCATGAAAGTACAAATCCAGCTCCTCCCCAGGAGGTGACAAGGACATATTGGCTGTGTTCAAGAGAACTTATGTGTTGCCTCTACATCTTAAATCATTCATAAGGCTCCGTTGTATACAAGTGGATTGAAATGTCAAGCTAGTCAGACTTCTCCAGTTTAAACCCTGCCCAGCTGACACTCCAAATTATGTACGTTTGTCCTCTTCTGCACTTGCATGGCTTCGTTCCTGTAGATCATCAGTATACTTGAGGGCAAAGTGGTGGTCGGCCACTCCATCTACAACGATTTTGAGGCATTGGACGTTATACATCCAGGTCACATGGTCAGGGACACCTGTACGACACGTCTCCTCAGCCGGTTGGCCGGTTTCCCCCGTGAACGCTGCCCCTCCCTCAAAATCTTGGCCAGTAAGCTGCTGAACAGGAGGATACAGGTGAGGCTTCAATAGTGTCAGGACCATTTTCAGACTTCATACACTGTAAATATGTGACTTTTTTTCCACAAGACATGAAGAAAAAAATTTGTGTATCCCTATATTATGTCAAATATTATATGCTGATAATAATTTCATTGATACTGCTAAAAGGTATCTCAGGTGTGCATTGTATTGCCTACTTGAACTGTTGATTGGTTCTCACATGCTCTCATACAATTCTGTTGTTTTGCTGACGTATTTACCTTATTCTTAACAGTAATGAACCAAAACAGGCTTTGTGCAGTGTGTCAAAGAGCTTTATAAGAGAAATATGTAACAAGTAACACAACATATGTTGTACAAAACAAACAGCAGGGACCCTGGATTTATTCAGTCAACTATTTTCCACTGACTGCAGTCTCAGTAGACCAGAAAAAGCTTTTGTGTCAAGTTATAGACTCATGAACCAGTTGCCCAGCGAGCTATAAGCCCTTATGTCTGCTTTTGTTGAAAGCAGCAAGTTTACACAGCTCCTGCATGGGTAAAGGAAAAGCATTTAGGAAAATAAAGGAATATGTTAACTGAAAATGAAGAGGGCCACATTGGCATGGCTGGAATCATAGTGATAATAATCAATAATAGATATATTGGTGTCAGCACACGTCGGATGATAAGTAATAATGAATCAGAAGACAGAAAAACAAAAGCCATATGTGATGTAATTTAGAAAGCACCACTATGAAGTTTGTCCACCAGAGAGCACTGTCTAGTTTGTTTTTCAACTGTGAAATGCCCTGCTCAGTATTTATCTTGGTCACAGTTCTTAAAAAATAACAAGTCCATATCAAGATTTTTGGTATATCTGTTAATGTTTTTAAAAAAGTATTACCGATTATTGGTCACAGTATTTAAACAAATTTGATTTCCTAATGTATCAGAAATGTCTTCAAAACAAATATTGGCTGATATGTTGTTAGATATGAGTGTTTTGACTCTGATAGTTTGCCGCCTGTTACAGTTGATGATATAGCCTTTCCACAAATACCTGGTTGAGAGCATTGATTACATTATCGATTTAACTTTCATTTTGCAATGTTGGCATTCAAAAATCCATTATTAGTTGGTACACAATTTAAGAAAATTGGAAGACATGGGTCATCAAAAATTCACAATTTTCACCAAACATTCCATGAGTGTCTGATAATTGTTTTCCTTTGATTATAAATATGTGTAACTACATTGTGGTTGGTATACAGGTGCTGGTCAAATAGAAATAGAATATCATCAAAAAGTTGATTTATTTCATTTAATTTTCGTAGATACTGAATTTGGGATTTTCATTAGTTGTCAGTTTTAATCATCACAATTAAATGAAATAAACATTTGAAATATATCAGTCTGTGTGGAATGAATGAATATAATATCCAAGTATCACTTTGAATGGAATTACTGAAATAAATCAACTTTTTGATGATATTCTAATTATATGACCAGCACCTGTATTTAAAGTCTGCTTCCAGTAAGAATGCAGTTTACTTTGTTGTTAACTATGCTCACCGTGTCTGCATTTCCCTGCCCAGGTGGGGAGGAGAGGTCACTGTTCGGTTGAGGACGCTCAGGCTGCCCTTGACCTCTACAAGCTGGTGGAGGGCGAGTGGGAGCAGGAGCTGCACAACAAGCTGAGGGACGACGACGCACCACACGAGCCAAGCTTCGCCTCCTCAAACCACTACATGCAGGATGAGTACTGGCCAGATGATGTCATAGCTGACAGCCAATGAGAGGAGTGAGTATTCATGGCATGTGTCACAATAAGTGACAAATACCTCAGTGACAATATACAGCCATCAGAGCAGGTTCAGATAACTATGAATTATGTGAATGAAAATCTTCTTGAAAGTATATCAAGTCTGGAAAAGTAATTTAAAAATTAAATGCAAAATGGGTCACGGTGACAAGATGATTTTGCATTGTCTCATATGAGGAGAAGATCTGTATCACTTTGGAGAAAATAACTTGATTGCTTGAATGAAAACACTAACTTATTATTTTTAAACATGTTTGGCGTTCCTAACAGCGTATTTGTTGCTGTGATACCAGATATTTGCCTGCACAGAAATAGTTATCGAGTTAGTTGTTGCAGACTTGTTGTTTACAGCATGAGTTTTAGTGCTCTAAAATTTTGGGTTATTAACTTATATGATGGTTCTCGACCAGTATCTGCTCTTACTTGAAAGGTAAAATGTAACTTTTTAATTGGACATTAGGCTGATCTTAGACCACAGATATGGGTATTTTGGGAAACACACTTGAGTTTGTTTCTTTAATATATCTCTGTTCACATGAGAACATGAAAATGCACAAGTGGCTGCTATGAGCGTGCTCAAAAGCGGCATATGTTGCAGCTTTTAAAATGTTTTTCACTGTCTACAGGGCAAAAGACTAAGCAAGTTTAAACTGTTGCAATTACCTCCATGTACCTGTGGCCTTAAGTGTTTTCTATTGTAACAGTTGTGTGTTATATTGCAATGGTTATATCATTACCTCTCATTGTAAGCTGCTCTTAAATGTTCGAATAAAATGGCATCATGTTAAAATGAAATTATCCCTTTGTTTGCTTTCAATGAGTGAAAAGTGAAACATATTAATGTTTCTCCTTTTTTAGTCTCTTTAAAAGTGTTGTGTGCTGGTTTAACTTCAGTTTACCAATGTTCACGAATCGCATTAGTTTGTGGTGTAGTGCTCATATGATGCATCGAACTATACAGGAAATCCTCTGCTTGGCTCTGAGCTTCAATCTTTTGTACAAAAAATGTAAATGTTTAGTTGATTTCCTCACTGGGTGTAAAAAGATAACTACATTTTTTAGACATGACAGGTACATGATTCAGACTGTAGGTTTTGTTTATTTCCCCCTGTATGGATAGCACTGCAATAATTATAAATTGGTCAATGTTTAAAGCAGCTATATTTTTATAATAACGGGCTTAAATGAGTATTTGTAAGTGAAATATGTTGCTTGTAGTGATAATCCAACAGAACATTATCACCCAACTCTTCTGTAACCCCTCAGCTCTACAGAGCTCATTGTTTTGGTTTCCAGCAACTTTTACTGTTTGTCATAACACTCATCATATTTTGAGTTATATTAGTGTTTCTTTCAGCCACAGCAGGCAGACACCGTTATCAAGTAGCTGGTGAATATAGTAGAGCATTTAGCAGCTAAAGAGCCATATTATTCCTCAAGTCTCAATCTTCTTTCCTGGCGTTGTCCCATTTATATGGGGTCCGCCGTTTAGCTCGGTCGTCTCCACTTGGCTCTGTTGTGGATGTCCTACGGGTTGAGGTTCGTGGCGCGCATATCCTCGCTGATGCTGTCCATCCACTGCTTCTTAGGTCTTCCACGCGGTCGGCGGCCTCCTGGGTCTAAGCGGAGGGCTGTTCTTGGGACCTCATGTCTCAATAATGGAATGTAAATATTGGACTCATTCAACAGGTGAACACAAACATGACTCAGAATTAGTTATAATGTTGGTCTGAATCTGGTGGATCTGTAAATAGGCTGTTACTGTTTAACAACTTCGACAAATTGTGTTTGCAGCTTCTGCTGTCCCCAAGAGGACAAAAGAAAGTTGAATGTTTTATTTGAAAAATATTTGAAAAACCAAATTTGCATTTAATGATTAATAAATTTGAAGTTTCTACACAGAAAGCACAAATTGTATCATTATGTGTCTTTTAAATTTGGGAACTACAGATGAGAGACAAATTAAAGGGAAAACCTGAATAAAAGAGTGGAGAAACATCAAATGCTTCTGTTCTCCAGAGCTCATTGAATGGTTTGTATGAAAATAATGTGACTAAAATGCTAAGGCCCTTACAGCCACCACCATGACCAAGCATCAAATTATAGTAAATAATCTATTTAGCGATGTCTATGAGTAATGCTATATCCATTTGTTTAGGTCTGGCTATATTTGTTTGTTTTTCTTTCTATCTGCAGTACTCAGATCTCTGTTGAAAAAGAGATCTAGATCTCTATGAGATGCCCTAATTAAATAAAGGTTGTATTTATACATGAGGGAATATCTTGTGGAGGATGGTGTTCATCCCTCTAATAGAGTTCTACAGACTTGGCAAGGAGCACTGAAGCTGTTCTGGAGGCTCGTGGTGGCCTGAACCCATACTAAGGCACATCATGTTTTTTTCTTGCATTCATCACCCATCTGGATGTATTTATGTGTATTCTTATATATCTTTTTACTTCTGTGGGATTGGATAATTACGTTAAGGGTTGTGCCACTTAATCCAGATCACCATTAACAGCAGCATTGTTAGCAGCAGTAGCATTATTGGATAAAACCCCGGCTCTGTAAGCTTAACAGTTTTAGGGTCATCCAGACCAGCTAGACTCTGTCACAAACTCTGGATCAGGATGTGAAATCATCTAATGGCACCATCTCCAAATAGGTTACAAAATCCACTGCGTTAACAATGGGCTGACCCAAAAAAGCAAAGGGGGACGACATGGAGTCAAACAGGAGCACCTTTTCATGGCTGTTTTTCTTCTCTCCCAGCATTCCCAATTATAAATCCCTGTGACTGAAATTCTTACACCCATGTGAGCCGTTGAGCGGAAATGCTGCACAGCTTTAAGTTCTTGTTTTGCATTAGTTTGCACTTGAGTGTGACACTAGATTATGATGCATTGTAGTATATCATTTCACTTGTATTAACTAAACATGAAACACAGTGAGCTACAGGTACAGCTGTACATTTTGAAATGCTCCATGGCTCTCTTAATGGCTTTGTCCTTGTGTCATAGAGGCTTTCTTTCACACTCAAACCCATGAACACACACACACACACACACACACACACACACACCTAAAGCCTGAACTTGGCCCCATAGCTCAGGCTATATGGAGAGAACAGTGAGCAGCATTGTTGGCCCAATCCATCTAATTTTGTTCCCCAAATCGCGTTATTGAGCAGATCAGGCCTGAATTAGCAGATTACTAGTCGGCTGCCTGCTCCTTCATCATTGCATCAGGAGGAAAACGTGTGTTGGTGACGTTAGCGCTGCAAGGGTCAGAGAGAGGAAAATGGCCAACTTCCAAACATTAACCACACAAAAGAACAACCGGCAAGTAAAGAGGAAAACAGGGCCTCACATCCAGGACAAATGATGTATGTTTACAGAAGTTAGGAGGTAATTGGGTGAAAACCTTTTTATTTTTTTTATCAACTTCTAAAATCAGAGCCATTATGATGGCTTGGGAGTTTGGCATGCTGATCATGGGTTGTGGCATCCCCAGTACAGATCAAGTTGGGGAACTTTGTCACAAATGATTAAAAAACGCAGAATCGCATTAATTTGGGCCTGAAATGTGCTATGCTAATGGAGGGCTAATTCTCTGGTTCTCTTGCATACTAAATAATAACACATTTTTTGTGTTATTGTGTTTTGTGTTAACTGTTTTGGTACATAGAAGGGTTGTTTAAATATACAGTATAGAAACCCAAAGCAAAGGACAATTTTTTAAATATGCAGCCACCACCATAATCAACTTAGACAATGCGGATGGACAAAAATGTGTGTAGGTTTTTCCTGTTCCTCTCTATAAATAATTTTATATAGGATTTAATGACAAGAATATGTTTAGGTGATCAGTGTCACCTGAACACCATGATTGCAGGATGTGTTTGAGGATTACTCAGTAAATTGATGAGTGCAAAGGCGTATTTAAACTAAGAATGGATAGACACTACAGATGAAACAACAGGAAATAAGTGGGTCCTCACCTTGTATACATAGATACCCATAAGTCTAATTTAAGACCCTGCTAAAGTTTCCACTGCTGGATTCTTAAAATGTTGTAGACTTAACCCTGAGGGAGCAGAAGAAACAATTACTATAATTAAAGTATCCTGTTGTATTTACTCTTTGTTAATTTGTTTTCATGCACATCTCTCTTTCGCTCAATTATTTGAGATTAAACTAGAGATTTTTACTCCACCTCGCTTAGTTTCGATTATTCATGAAGCCTGACTACATGTGTGTCTGATTAGATAAAGTGCTCACAGTACTGATCACATTATATAAACCTTTACTTTCGGCTCCTAACGCTCGCAATAGCACATACTTCACACAACCGCACAGCTATCAAGGTGACTGGCATGTTCACGGTGTAATTATGTTCTGTGTGCTGAGATATAATGTGTATGTAAGAACTAATCTGATCACAGCGAACTGTGTATAGTTTAGGTCCATTACTGATATGAATGCGCCCACGTCTAAATCCAAATCCTCGTGGCGAGGGTGGTGGTGGGCTTGTGTGTATGTTTATATTTCTCATAGTTTATGCAAACATGAGAGATGTGTATTAAATTTTAAAGCTTTCCTCCTCAGTTAGAATAATGGATTTCTAATTTTAAAGAGATTTGTGAGACGTCCAACAGAAAACTTTTCTGACACCTTTTTATTTTTTTGTAATAACATATTTTTAGGGAATATTCGGTAAACTGCCAAATTGCTGCTTTTTTGTTGTTTTGTCTCTTTTGCTTTGCTTTTTTCCGACTGTTGTGTTTTTCTTGATTTTAATTATCTTCACCAGTTGCAACTAATGATTACAGTCAATATTCAATTTGATGTCACCAAATTGCTTGTTTTGATTTTTGATTGACCAATAGTTCAAAAAAGGCAGCAAATTGTTTTTGCTTGAAAGACTGCAACAATGAATTGATTTTCAAATAGTTGCTGATTAGTTTTCTGACAATCGATTTATTGACCTGTTGCGGAATGAATTTAAGCCTGTTCATGTTGCAAAACTAGAACAATGGACTCTGCACCAAACCTGATGGCAGCTACAGACAGAAATATGCATAACTAACAGAAATATGCAAGACTTCTCTCACTCTGAACTAAAACGGGCTTGATAGTCAATACATTTAACCATATCAGTTATGGATAGTGGATGTTACATGTAAATATAGTATAAAATGTGTTGTTATGAGGGTACGTTGTTGCCCCTTTTGTTCAGCAGAGGATCTCAAAAACTTTTCCATTGAATCTGGATTAGATTTATTTATAAGATTTTGCTGCTGCTGATCTAAGTGATGCATATTGATTTTAGTCCCATATAGAGACAGATACTATTTATAAACCCCAGCCCTTTGTTTGTAGAGTAAAGAAATCCATTAATTAAAGAAAGTGATTCTTGCCAGAAGGTTATATCTATTGCCAGAGATAATATTGCTGCTGTGTCTGCCAAATGCGTCTGCCAAATGAGTGAAATGAGTAAATGCTGCTGGTCCCGTAAGAAATGTTCCAACATTAGAACCCAACTGAAATCCCATTCAACATCACGCCTCTAAACATCTAAAAAAAACAAACCCATCTGAATACAGGCTCCCCTCTCTTCTCTGCCGAGTGTGATCACGTTGCTGAAATCAAACTGGGAATCAGCAGTCACAATGGTCACTTTTCACTCCATCCAAGTAGTAAATCCCTTCCCTTTAAACCACCTCTTACCTAAAGTGTGTGCTCAAAATTACATCATCCAAAATGTGCACTGGCCCTGCCTTGCATCATGGGAGCGCCTCCACCATTGGCCTAACACCCTCACCATCACTTCCTCCCCTCCTGCCCCTTCTTCTCACCCTTTGCCACTTTATGCTGATTGAATAGAAAAAGCAATCTGTCGGATGTAATCTGGTGTGACGCCACTAATCCCAACGCTACAAATCATAGGTCCCGGCCCTCTTGCTCCCCACAGACCCCTGCGACTCCCTTCCGGCAACTTCACAACTGCCTCAGGTAAGACCCGGCCTCCTCTCACTGATGTGCTACTTCACACTCTTTTCTTTCAAAGATTTTGTACAGCTCTGCAGCTCTTCTGGGTCCCTCTGTAGTTGAACATTGATGTTCTCTTATGAAGTGGCATGAAATACAAAATTTGGATATTTGGCCTTGGACTCCCAAGCAAAATTTTCTTCTTGTATTTTGACATATTTGAATCTAATTAAGTGAAGACTGTTCATATCTTGCTCAGTAGGTGCATCAAAGGGACTAATACCACTGGCAAGGTTCAGAGCTGCTTTCCCACTTTGACCAACAACTCCCAAAATGCAAGTGCTCATAGTGCTGCAGCTTTCTATTGAAGGGAATATATTATGTTACAATACAAAGATATCCGTCAATATGATGCAGTGGTCTTTAGAAATGTGAATTAAATTAGAGCTATTAATTTTGGTCTATAAAATGCTAGTTTATTCTAATAAAAATATTTAAAGCCAAAGGTTTTGTCTTCAAATTGCTTGTTTTATTTGACCTATTACCTAAAAACCAAAGATATAAATTTTACTGTCACATATCTGGACAAATGAGAGGCTGGAGATAGGTTGTGTTTTGTATTTTTACTTGATAATAGATTATCAAAATAGAAACAAAGAAAAATAAGTTTTAAATACTTTAAATGTCCATTTGGGAGATTTAAGGGAACATTCAGGTTCAAGTTGTTGTACACTGATTTTACCAATAATACAAACTGAATTTCTGCACATTCATGATTATACAGAATTAAACAACATGAGTTTTAGCCTTTATAACATATGTGAGCCTGTTGATTATGAAACCAAAAGACTGTCGACTTTAAATCTCCTGACAAATCATCCAGGAATGGGCAAGTGCTAAATATAGCCGGATCAAGGTACCCTGTGATAGCAGAGAGGGTGGGATGAAGGGGGATTATTGTGGAACAGTGTGTACAGTGTGTGAATTGTTTTTTTGTTTTTTTTACTGAGTCTCATGTGAGACCCATGTCAAATTCCCTTTTGTTTTCTTCCACACAGTACAAAGCTGATACAAAGAGCAGAAGACATGGCTGTGGTTGTAAGTTGGCCTACTTGCACTTATACTCACTTAAAACTGTGTTGGTCTGATTTTGCCCAAAGAGAACAATTCAGTGCTGATATTTTAAATGAATTTCTAAGATATAATAGGGGCGATGAAGGGGTAAAGGCCTGTCATTAATACTCACTTCACACACGAGCCTATTGTTACAGATGCTGTCAACAGCTACAGTAGTCTTAGCTGCTTATCTCTGATCCGTGCTTCAAGTCTACTAGTAGTCCTTACCATGTATTTACAGGGTTTACTGGTCTCATGTGAGTGGGATTAATTAAACACTGAGGCCTATTGATTATGCTCCTGCAAAACTGGTGAACAAGCATTTTGTCATACGTGGATTAGACATTAGCACAACCAAGTCTTGTGAGAGAATTACATTGACATAGAAAGGCATTTAGCAGTTATACAAATAGCAAAGCAAATACAAAGACACTCTATAACACAAGATAACGCATTACAAGCTGAGTCAATGGTATGACATCGTATAGGCTATACTTCCTGCCTCCTAAGTGGGCGTGGTCGCCTCTCCCTTCCACCTTATTTGGAAGTGTTGTGAACGCTGTGTGGATGAATGAAAGCGTATTGGGTTGTGCATGCATGATGTTATCGGTAAAAAATATATTTTAATATTACTTAATGACCCATGTGTTGCTGAGACTGGTGTCAAACAAGTTCATTTAAGTTCAGTGTTCATAAGATATGTGGCTTGTGAAAAATGGGTCCAATATTTACTTTGGTGACTATTTGGCAACAGTCGGTCATAATCTGTGCTCACGTTCACTTCTCCCATTGAAGTGAGTAGACTCAGGAGGACCCACTGCTAGTCTCCTAAAGGTTGTTGGGTGCAGGAGTTTTCTGTCAGCCATCAAAACACCTGCTGTGCAATCATTAATTGGCCTGTGTCGCAGCAGACATTTTGACCAGTCATTGCAGGAAAGGCACAGTTGTAACTAATAACATTAACAATGGATCTATTTAATTTAAGTGTGCCACTAAACCACTGCCAGTGAGTGAGCATCCACAATACCAAGGCCCTGGATCTGGCAGAACTAAATGGAATGCATCCATTATTAATGATATCAATAACACCTGTGCTTTTCCTGTTATGATAAATTGTCTGTTGCTGAAAGGTTTAAACCCAATAGAGAGTAGAGACAATTATCTGCAATATGTGATTCAATGCTGCTTTATTCTTCACTTCAATTATCTGTTAGTATAATAAAACCAAAATAGTTTGGGCCCTAACAACCATTTCCCACTACTTACTATGAATTATTTATAGTTGCAATTTGTAGGGCTGGGTATCAAGCATCAGTGCTTTTTGGTATCAACTTATGTTGGAAACAAATGTCAAAGGTCAGATTTGTGGTCTGATCTATTCATTAATCTGATCATTTTGCCAATCTTAGACTTTATCAATGCAAAGTTCTTACATGGTTGCTTGGGTTTGGACAACATTCAACATTAAAGATCTTTGGCCTCTTTTGTTAAATAAAAAAAAAGTTTTTGTACAAAACGTGTTTATAGATTAGAAAGTATTAAGTATCTGTACTGAAAATCAGGTATTGAATAGACTAGAATTAAAAACAATTTTACAAGATACCAAAGCTTTGTAGCTTGAAAGCTCAATTAACATGGTTAACGTTAGCAGACATAGTGGCCCTATGTGATACATCAACTGGTGCACAAATACTGTACTACAGAATACTAGTGTTAGCCACAAGGTAATCAATGTCCTGTCATCCCTTAGATCTATAAGTGAGCAACCAAGCTGTACTGTATGTTTGTGTCTGCTGGTCCTAGTATGACCACCCCTGTCTTTTCAGAGTGGAACTTACCGTATGGTGTCGGAGGAGGAGCAGGCTCTCAGGTCCAAGCTGGAACGTCTTACCGTCAAGGATCACGGGCCAGTGTTTGGACCCTGCGCCAGCCTGCCAGACCACACTAAGCAGAAGGTAGCCAGACATGTTCTTACATTACCAAGTCAGAAAAATCAGGACACAAAACATAGTTATGTTTAAGAGTCAAATCATAATATTACAGTATTTTATTAATGATGTTACTACATGTGACTATAGGATGAATACAGGAATTAAGTTCATTATCTTTTTTTTTCTAAGAGAGGGATGATTTTATCATTCTGTATCAGTAGAGACAGGCAGCGAGTGCCTGGCTATGCTCATACAACCCACCTGTAGTGCTATAGCACAACAAAATAATGCTGCCCAAATGTTCCCCAAAAGAATGCACTAAAACATGGCAAAGACAACAGCAGACTCGGAGGGTAGAAAGGTGCCTAGGCTAGCTGTCTAGCATGCTTTGTTAGCTAACCAAGTTAGATCTCACATCAGCTGCAGCTCCCACCTAGGAAAGCAAGGATAACACACTAAGTTAGCAGGCAAATTTGGTTAGGACGAACTTGAGTTGTTCGCATTGAAAATGCTTACATGAAAGCAAGGTGGGACTGACAGACTGATTGTCAAACAGTAGTCCTATGTGCTTTATAGCAATCCCCATACATTCTTACAATCCATCATTCACTGACAACATTGATAAACATAACTTTTCATTTATTTAAACTGTTTAAAACCAAAGCTATTCAAACTGTAAGGTAACGGTTTGGTCTTGCTCCTTACAGGCCAAGGATGAGCTGAATGAGACAGATGAGAAGCGGGCAGAGGCAGTGAAAGAGCTGCGAGCAATGATTAAGGAGAAGGCGGATGGAGGTGATGAAATAGCTAAGGGGGTGCAGGAAACGTTTGGGGAGAAACCGGACAGTTTGCTGGTCCGCTTCATCCGTGCCAGGAAGTATGACATGCCCAGAGCCTTCGAGCTTATGAAGGGTAACTCCTAATTATATATTCTACATAATAGAAAACAATAATGAACATGCTAATCTGACACATACTGCTCCATAGTTCTTCAACAATAGCTAATTTTGGTTTTCGAGGCATATGTTTTTGCATTGACAAAATATGTCAAAATTTACAACTGATCATTTTCATGCAAAAACTGTGCAGTGATTAGTGTTTCAACCACATATTTGAAATTGTCACTGTGAAAAAAGCCTTTATAACAGTATTTAGATCCTCATGGGACACCTAAACTCTCCACTGAGTTCCATAGTTGCCAGAAGGACCTCTATCATTTTGGCAATGGATGACATGACCAGTAATTACTGATACCAAAAACGGCAAATTTACAGTCTGGTGTGACCCTAAAATCTGTTCTTGTGTTCCCACCAAGGCTACGTGCGTTTCAGGAAGAATTACCCTGAGCTGTTCGAGAATCTGACCCCAGAGGCCGTACGCAGTACCATCGAGGCCGGCTACCCTGGCATCCTGCACAGCAGGGACAAATATGGCCGTGTGGTTCTGCTCTTCAACATTGAGAACTGGGACTATGAGGAGATCACCTTTGATGAGGTAAGTGAGTGGTTCTGGGTGACCACATATCCCACAGTGCACCTAGAAAAGCATATTTCCAAACTCACTTTTCATTTATATGGGTAAAGGAGTTCTGATGTTGTCATAATTATTTTTCACATCACCCCATTTTGCTCAAACATTAACAGAAGAAAAAAAACATGTTATTACAAATAAGCAAGATTCAAATCAATAAATGTGTGTTCAGATCTTGCGTGCCTACTGTGTGATTCTGGAGAAGCTGCTGGAGAACGAGGAGACTCAGATCAATGGGTTCTGCATCATTGAGAACTTCAAGGGCTTCACTATGCAGCAGGCATCAGGAATCAAACCCACTGAGCTCAAGAAGATGGTGGACATGTTGCAGGTGGGAAAATCTAAACCCATGTTTTAGATTGGTCTATTACTACTGGCAGATTAAAGGGTGGGAGAGATGGATATTCTAGATGTGAACACTGTAGATGAAAAGTTGGCATTTAAGTTTTCAGATGTCATAAGTTTTTAAATCATACTTTTTACACATAAACTAGATTGCTAGATACTTGAATTAAGTGGAAAATGTGTTTTTGTTTTGTCATTGTTACATTATTCCTCACAGATGACTGTGTAGATTATTCCTTATGTCTGCTGTGTTGAGATTGGGGAAAAGTGAAAAAAAATGCTCTTCCATCTCCTACCACACAGGTGCCACTAAGGAAAGCATTTAACATTAACTTTTAACTGTACAAGAAAGAGCTATTCAGTGGTTTCAAACTTATTTCACTGCTATTCAGTGGTTTCACTGAATAGCAGTGAAATAAGTTTCACTGATCCTTGATGTAAAAAATATTTTGCAGCTGCAAATTAAAGCAGTAGAGAAATATTCATGAAAATCTCAGTACCAATTTATCTTTTTTTCCCCACTAGGATTCATTCCCTGCCCGTTTCAAAGCTGTGCACTTCATCCACCAGCCCTGGTACTTCACCACCACCTACAATGTGGTCAAACCACTCATGAAGAGCAAGCTGCTAGAGAGAGTGAGTTAGACAAACATGATTCAATAATAACGATGATGGCCAATATACAGTAGGAGATCCAATCATTAGAGGAAATAGTCCTAACTGAGAGAACACCTCCTGCGCTACTAATTTATTGATAAATTGCATATAAAATTACACATATGATTCGAAGTGACATCACATGAAGCTCCCTGGAACTAATTTTTTTTACGATTTCAGGTTGTGAAATAAAATGGTACCAGCAGTGAAAGTATACAATAGTTAGTGTCAATTCTTATTGGTAAAGTTTGCTGTGTGCCTGGGACTGGTTTCCTCTGATTTGCAAACTTGACTGTTGGCTTCTGACTCTAATAATACTCAAATACCCATACAACCCCAAAATGCCACTTGATGCAGTGTTGAAGCAATTGATCTTTATCTGTTTTTCTGACAGTATTTGTTGTTTTTTAAAGACTTCCCACCACATTATTATAGATTAATTAAATTTCCACTTATTTACATGTTGGTTTGTCTCATAAAAGCCTCTAACAACTACTGTCCTTGCTTTAGGTGTTCGTCCACGGAGACGAGCTGGATAACTACTACAAGGAGTTTGATGCTGACATCCTTCCCTCTGAGTTTGATGGAAAAGGTTCTAAGTACGACGGCAAGGCCACAGCTGCCAAGCTGTTTGACTAAACGTCCTCCATCCTTTTGCCAACCAAGCAAAGAGCCATTATATTACAAACCCCACAGGTGGAGGAGACCCATAGCCAAATCTAGCAGTGTGGTTTTAGGAAAAAAGTTATGAATGAAAGTCGAGTGTGTGAGAAGTTCAAGTGATGCTGTTTTGCAGAGGTTCTGACCAAGCAAAGTCCAACAAGAATGAGGGAGTCTAATGATCAGTCAATGAGACCACTCTTTGTTGACACCTTACAATTTTGCATGTTTAGCATTGATGATCTATAGCCATTATAGGACTAGAGGCACTTGCATATTTTCAAGTCTTAGATCATTAATTATGGATGCATACTCCCAGACAAGCACTGACTTCACTTCACACCAGAAGGTCCCTATAGTATGAAAATCAGCCTCCTTAGTCTTAAGACTGGCTTGAAATTAACATTTAGGTGCCTTTATTTTTTTGCCGTATTTTGCTGATTTGACGCTTGGTTGTCGGTGTAGTCAAAGAATCTCCGATATTCAAGATTTCAGTGGTTGCAGGCAAACAGCAATCCTTTCATTACACAAAAATACTAAATTCACTAATATTTTCAATGTCCATAACATCTAAGAGCTTACTGAACGTCACCAAACAAGGAAACATTTTCACAGCAGTACATGCTCACAACAGCTTTACTGGAACTGATCAAAAAATAACGGTGACCAAATGTTGGTTGTGGATTACCTATGTTAAGCAGATTTAAAGGCTTTGCAAGTTGATTTTCATGCCAAACTCAAATGAACTGAAGGCAGTGGCTGTCCGGGAGACATGGCATGGTAGTTAATGGGCAAAAAATGCAAAAGAAACTGTATGATACATTGACCATTCAGATACAGTCGTCTCATGTAATTTCATGAATGAAAAATTGATAAAATATTTATTCTAAATACACAGGCTGACCCATGTAATGCCAAATTAGTGTTTACCGCTTGGCTTTGAACAGGAGATTTTCTCTTGCTCATCTCTGTTAAGTCTTGCTTTGTTTGGACCATAGTTCACCCACACAGCTTCATTTGACACTGGCAGGCCCCAGCTTTCTCAGTCTCCACCCTCTGCCCCCGCCCCTTGATGTACAAGGCTGATATTCCAACAAGTGCCTGTCTCTTGTGTGTTTTTTAGATTGTTATTCAATATGAATATTATGACCTATTACCCATTGTGCTACCTGGTGCACCAATAAGAATGTCAATCAATGTACAATAAACTGTATATAAATATAAGTTGTGGTCTTTACGTCAATTTTCAAATCTAAACAAGACCAAGTTACTAGCTGTGCTAGTAGCTAGTACTTAGCAGCCTCTGTGAGGCTGAACTTAGGCACTGTTGAGCTAAATGCTAACATGCTGATGTTAAGCAAGTATGATGTCTACCATGTTTACCATCTTTGATTAGCGTGTTAACATGCAAGCATTTGCTAATTAGCATGTCATTAGTTTTGCAGGTATTTGGTCAAAAACTAAAGCTACACTGAACAAAACTATAAACGCAACACTTTTGTTTGCCCCCATTCATCATTTCTCTCAAATATTGTTCACATAATATCTGTGTAAGTGAGCACTTCTCATTTTTGAGTGGCCTTTTATTGTGGCCAGCCTAAGGCACACCTGTGCAATACCCATGCTGTCTGATCAGCATCTTGATATGCCACACCTGTGCGGTGGATGGATTTCTCAGCAAAGGAGAAGTGCTCACTAACACAGACTTGTGAACAATATTTGAGAGAAATAGGTCTTTTGTGTACATAGAGAAAGTATTAGATGTTTGAGTTCAGCTCATGATGAATGGGGGTAAAAACAAAAGTGCTGTATTTGTAATTTTGTTCAGTATATTTATAAAATTTTGACCTGATGATGGCACTGGATGACAAGTTAAGGGATAATCAAAGTTATTACAATTTACTGTGAGGGGAACATGAATTACCTCATGAAAAGCCAGGGGAACTCCACAGTCACAAGTATTCATAATCAGGGGATGCTAAAACAAATTTGTGGTGGACCTACAGACTGACAGACAGTGTCATGTCGATAGCATGACTAGAAAAGGAAAACCTAGAATAGGTTATAATAAACAGACAAAACAATATATGCGAAAAATATTTATTAATCAGTTAGTTCAAATATGACTAAAAAGGTCATGGCTGTGCACAGCATCAGAACAAAACACATTACGATTAGATTATGTTACACCCAAATGCTGATACATATTACAGAAACAATAGGAACTGTAAAGACAGTAAAGTGCAGGCAAAATACTCCATATGTCAGGACATATTGCACATACAGACACAGTAGTGGTGCAGGCTGCATTCAGCTTTTTCTAGACAGAGAATTAAACTTTTATTAAATCAAATGGTTGAAATGTTGATTAATACGATAGGCATGAACTTGGGTGGAGTCCACTGCATTTACAGAGTCTGACAAGATGTTACAGGAAACTGTGACTAATATCAAACATTCCCACACAAAGGCACTTCTCAAAATAGAAATAAAAAAGGCCCAGCATAAACCACAGAACAAAAACAAAAATTTCTGGTGGAAATATATACTGTTTGTATCATGAGATGAGACACAACAGAGCTAAGTTTTGTGTGGTAGTTTTCATATGTCACTGTCTTTACTTCTCGGTTCACTGTATTTGTTGTTTGTATTATTTGTTTTATGTGGAAAACTCCACCCATCCAGTACTAGTATGTAGCAATAGGCAGCTTAAAATAAAACCCAAAATCTTGGGTCAGTTTTGAAACCTATGTAATGTCTAATATGAGACCTCCACTGTTTATGAGGCAAAGCCATGTGCCTTTTTTTGGGTCACATGTGGCCAAAATGCAGCAGAATCATTAAAAAGTACAAAGTTGAGCTACTTTTTATTGAAAAGTGAAGGTTGCTTTGGTTCATTTTTGGTAATTGCATAAACTGAGAGTGCACAACAGGATTTCTTGTGAATAATCTTACTGTGTGTGTCCCATTTGCACTCTCCTCCTTTCTTTTAAAAATGATTGTAAACAGAGTTTGACCCAGCTCTGTCCTGAACAACCAGTCATAGTATACTTTTTTCAGTACCTTTTGTCCTGGATTGTACAATTCTAAAAGGACATTTTCTGTGGTAATAACCAGAGTTAACAGCAGCATTTAGGAAATTAAACTACCCGACCATCCTCATGCTATGGTAGTGGAGGCATCACAGTAATAAATGCTGTTACCCGCTGGTTTTAAGGCACTGTGGAGCAACTCATGGAATGGGACAAGCTGACCTGGACCAGTACAACATGTGACGTACAATGTTAACCCTAGTTTGTATAAAGTGCCCATTTTTCCATTTAACAACACAGAAAGGAGTGTTAGAAAAACATCATTAACTCAAAGATAACCATTTCTGTCTGTCTGTGTTTTTATAACTCTTAAACTGCTTTAAAAACCTTCCACCCTGATTCCTTTACTTTAAATATCAGCAGCAATAATGCATGCTGATGGTCCACCACACACAATTTAAACGCAAAGTGAAAAACTGGATCGTCTATGCTCCCAGTAAAAACAAGCAAGATCATATTAAATCATATTAGGAAATTATTATTTTAAGCCTTAACAACAAATGACCACTGTAAACCATAAATCAAGTCGTACAGCTGCTTATCAGAGGTAGCTCAATGATTTGTGAGAAGCCAGCAACCAAATTTCTTGCAGATTCACATTTATATTAAGGCACTTAAATCTGGTTGTGAACTCGTGAAAGATTTTTTTTAAATTAAGCAGCAGCTGCCAAAAACCAGCAGAGGAACACAGAAGAGGATGGAGCAATTAACCATGGGGTCATATTACATTTTACGGTATTGTCTTATGTGAGTTTCAATTTACTTGGTGTACCCGTTTCCATGTTGACTGACTTTTCTAATCCGTTTAGTGACTTCCTACATTTCCCAGAATTACATTCTAAACTGTATGGCCATTACTATTGGATTAGAGCACATACAGAAGGCTAAATATGTGCTTGCGTGTTTTTAAAGTTTTGGTCAAGGTTTTTGTCTCCAGACATCTCTGTTTGTTACCCACTGAGTTTTACCCCTCTGCTCTGCATGCAGGAGTGCGTGTCCTGGTGGGCGCTCCTCTGACAGGCCGGCTGGTTCTTCTCCCAGTGGCAGATAGCATCGGTGTAATTGACTATGAACTTGTCCATCCAGGTAAGGGGCAGAGGGAACAGCACTGCTCCCTCAAAGAAGCCCAGGTGGCCTCCATGTTGAGTCAGGGCAAACATCACATTGGGCATCTTTTCTACAGATAGAAGTGGAAGTAAAGATGATTGACTGTCTTTTTTAAATATTATTCAGCATTCATTATTCATTTACCATTAAAGTATGGCTAACACCACATTTAGATTCTGTGTAAAGTTTCAGTTCACGAACTAGATCTGTCACCCTCTAGACAAACACATCATATTGACCTAAGTGCACAAAACTGAAGAAAAAAAGTCCAGAATCTAAGGCTAGTCCAGTCGCCCTTGACTTAGTCCTCCCAGATATGCTATTACTTCATACAGTTGATATGGCAAACTTGTTAGCATACAGTGCACATGTGAAAGATTACAGAGCAATATTATCATTCATTTGAAGTCGTGTTTCTGGCCACCTGATGAATGTACGTCCAATATTCTCTCTCCTTTCAGCTCCTGTTTTGCTCTCCCCAATCTCCTGTGGGATTATCTGGCTCTTTCACTGCTTAATGCTCTGCTATGTTCACCAGCTAGTCACCAACAGTGTCTGACTGCCGTTTGGTACTGAGCAGGTAGTGTACACAATCGCAAAAACAGATAATGTTGGTTAAAACTTTACAGGAGAAACACTGAGAAGTTGTAACCTTTTGCACTTCATTGTGTCACTTTGTTTGTGTCACTGGTTTTTCTGGTCGAGCATCTTCAACCAGTTGGTAATTAAAGGTGCCGTGATCTTGTAAACCTATTGGTAAGTCAGTGGCCAAGATGCTCAATTTCCACACAGAAATCCTCTTTTCCTTTCTGTTACACTACACCACCTGCACACTCCTTCCTGTTTATATGTGTGTGTGCACCTACAAACAAACCATTAAAGTGTATGTCTGTACACTCCAATTCAACTAGATATTGAGGGTTACTCTATGAGGCCAGTACTGTGTCTCTAATTCTTATCCAAGTGTTGCACACAATATTGAATATTATCACTTCACAATCTAGTGGCTTTCCTTTCTATGTGAGATGTATACATCATATGACACAGTTCAGACTTAATTACAACTGAGTAATGAAGAGAAAAGGTTTTCGGCGTTTTTGTTTCTTTGAAGTAGAAGACAAGTTTAGATTTTCACTTGTCAATGTTTAACTCATTACACACACTGATTTACACACACAGGTGCCAATGCATGTGATCTACCGAGGCAAGGCCAGGCAGCAGGCTGAGCACACACACACACCACTCTATATATATAATCCAACAGCCCAGACAGATCACATGGCCCTGAAAAATTCAACAAGACTGTCTGTGCTGGGCGGTGTTGAGCAGATAGTGTTAACACTTAAAGACTCCGGCTCCAGTATCAAGCCCCAGAGGAAGGACAACAGGTTAATTGGTTCTACACTAGTCTGAGGACATCACTGTGAGGACAATGTTTTACTGTTGTAGTCGTCGTTCTCTAGGAAACACGTAAAGCAAACAAAATATGAGCCGTTACAACAACAATTTAGTTAACCCTCCCCATTTTGCTGCATAATTAGATATGTAGAGGAGGGGATTACCTTTCATACTGACATGTGACTGTGGGAATGATTGTTTTCTCATAAATAGATGTACATTATTGTTTTATTATATGTTTTTTTAATGTGTGACCTATTATCTGATTGTTCCACTAAAACAGTTTTAAAAGTTATTTTACATTCTTTGTCTCTTAATCACGACTTTCTGCCAAACATGTAGGTTTCGCTAAGATGACTTAGCGACAAGGATTAGCCTAATTAATTTTGTAAAAAAAAATTTGTATCAAACAGAGTCAGTTTTCTTTCCACTGCAGCCACTAATACTGAAAAATGTACAGCGTGCAGCTATGGCAGGCCTACTTTTAATCCATTTGGATACAACACCTGAAATATATGTAGATATTGCTGATGTCACTCTACATCATGACCAATGTGATATATTATAGCTAACACCACCATTACATAAAACCCCAAATCCTTCTAATAATCTATCACTGTTGAATGA